TCAACAATCTGATAAAGTTTTAGCTCAGACTTGACTTCCTGTCTCCATTCTTCTGTAGCTCAGATGGTTTCTGCAAACAGGAAGTGAAACTGTTGCTATGGAAACAGGAGGCGCTGACCTCATTACTGTGATTATTAGTTTTTTCCAAAGTTGCTTCAACTTTGGAAAAAACTAAACAATATCAGATCATTTCTCAATAAATGTTTCATCTGGACCGAAGTCAAAACATTTCCCAACACGTTTGAACTCTGCTTCCTGAGATATTTTGCTAACAGGGTTGACCTTAGTTGACCTGAAACCTGCTACACACGTGGAGCTCTCACAGCATGTTAGGGATGACTCTCTGCTACTACCACACAGTTTAAAACAATATCTGCAACATTTGTTGAGTCAGTTGTCTGTGGCGGCCATCTTGAACTGAGCTAGCTAGAGTCCACCTTCACCAGACTCCTGGACTGGAAACACAGGATTAGCTAGCTGGACCTGTTCGGCCCAGGTGAGACAGGTGAGAGGTCATCTGTGAGGTGAAACTGAGGAACCAGTTTCCATGCTAACACTCCGGCACTGTTGTGTTTCCACACAGCTAGTTGTTCAGCTAATGCTAATGATGAAGCTAATGTTTTTGAGCTGATCGATCATCGAGCCGGACGGGGTCAGGGGTCACTCACCGATGGTGGAGATGAAGGTGGTGTTGAAGGCGTCCTCGCTGAACCGGAACAGCAGACACGTCTTCCCGACGCCGCTGTCCCCGATCAGCAGCAGCTTGAACAGGTAGTCGTAGGTCTTGGCCATGTCCCCCCCACCGCCGGAAGTCCAGGTGAGTCCAGCCGGTGCCAGTCCACCGAACCTGCCACACACTGCCGAGCTACACTTGGACCAGCGGTTCCGCCCTGCTTCTGCTCGGACCGTAAAACCGGAAACAGCCGAGCGGAAAGCGGCGCGCAACTTGGCGCAGCTACATCCGGAATAATCCTTTCACAGTAAAAGCTTTTCTGTTCGGTTCAGATGTGTGGAGCATATTTTGGACATGAAGTTTGTTATAATAATAATAATAATTTGAAACTGAAAACTACAAAAGAGGATTAGGGTCACTTAAAAATTTAAAAAGATTGGTGCCCATCTCCATCTGATGCAGGGGGTCACCCTGGCAGATCTTTAGTCCAAGGCCGCAAGGAGACTAAATAAATAAAAAATTAAAAATCAGCATTTTTAATCATGTTTTAATCTCAGAATTTTGAGAAAAGGCATTATTATTATTAGTATTAGTATTATTTCTGAACTGTAATTTCATTGTGCTCTCTGTACAATGACAATAAAGGTCTCTCTAATCTAATTTAATGTAATTTATTGTCTATTTGTGGCCTTGGACTAAAGACCTGTCCAGGGTGACCCCCACGTCAGATGGAGGTGGGCACCAGCCCCAGAAGAAGCAAAATATTAGTTGTTAATGTTCATGCAGTGATTGCTTTCTAGTCCACTGGCTCATTAGATATTTTGCTAACACAGACACACAAGCAAGACATCTCATCTTCGTCGGCGGGGTGAAATGATCCCACGACCAACTTTGACTTTGTTTTTCCCAAACTAAAATGTACAATAAAATCAGAAATGGAGAGAAACTGTTCCATACGTTTGGATGAAATGATAAAATGTTCTCTCTCTTTTTACTTTTCATGATTTTAGCTCAAACAAGATGCAGCAGAATTTTACACAAACATGGAAAGCTGAAGATTTTAATACAAAACTAAAGTCACATTCCTGGTTTATGTTTAATCAGACTTTTTAAATTATCCTTATTTTATGTTGGATTTATTTTTCCATAAATTTGTTGTTCTTCTTTTCTTTTTTTATCATGTATCATGACACATACTGCAAACAGGAAGCACAGAATATTCTTAATATATGTCGTTTATAATCTGTAATTTTTTTTATTTTTATTTTACCAGAACAAGGCATTTATTTTGAAGGTGAATTCTATTGTTTTTGTTTGTCTGCAGCAGTTTGACAGAGACAGGAAATGGGTGGGAGAGGTGCAGGGGAGTGTGTCACGTGGTTCTTCTTGCAACGTTTTATTTTACTGGAGGGAACAGAAATAAAGTCTGATTAACATAAAGATTAAAAAAAACTTTTATTAATGCACCAAAAACACCAACATGGTTTGAACACACGTATAAATATAAACGTAGATTAAATCATTATCTTCAACTATTTTAGTTTTCATCTTTTCTTAATAACATTACGGCAGTTCTGCTTGTGTTCACAAATTTAGATATTTATTTTAGACAGGATGTTAACATGTTAGCAACATGTTCATCAGCAAACCATCACTGCAGTTATATACAATTCATTCATTATACATTAAATTTAAAGTGCTATCAGATATCAATTTAAAGTATTTGTTGTATTTTAACTGATTATTTTATTTGTTTGAGCTGTAAACATGGTTAAATATCACACATAAGTTACTGTATTTATTCTACAACTTCTTTGACTGTAAACC